CGGGGATAGATTTCAAATCCCTCTCAACGATAACTACCGCGTGAGGAATTCAAGGAAGCTGGGGAGTAACCTCAATGGGTATATCCCCAATGGCCTTTGAATTCAAGAGAAGTTCACTATGCTTAGGATGGGAAGTTTCTACTAAGATGTCTCCATAACGTAGCTTCTTAACTGACTTTGGAGAGCCAGCAAGCCCCTCTAAGCCCTTCTGAATAAAAAAAGGAGACATTTGCCCTAAAGATTTATCTGATAGTGAATGCATGATTAAAAAGCAAGGTACAGGTGTACTGTGTGATGGAGACTGCTGTTCAGAGTCTTCTAGGCATGGTCGTTTACCAATAAGCAGATTTTTAAAATTTTTTTATTTGGAATGGGGGATCCATAATTAAAGAGAGAGATTCAGTGCCCACTGACCCTAGCCCCAGTGGACCAGCCGATTGACCCTATGGGGGCTACCCCAAGGCCACCCATCTACAGGAATTCAAGGCCAAAGTGGTGTGTTGCAGTGCCCCAGACACCACTCAACCACCGGGATCCTCTTCTTCCCTTCACGGGTCGCCACGCACGGCAGACACGTGGGTGGATGTTTAGATCCCAGAGAAAGTAACTGTAAATACAGAACCTTCTCACCACATACAGGAATCCATGTCGAGGGGCACATTATTTTGTTTCATACTTAATTGTGAGAATGGTAGGACTAGGACTGTAAAGAAATTACAATTTCATTATATAGGTCTCTAGTTAGGAAAGATGTTGAATTGTTGGAATGGGTTCAGAGGAGAATTACTAGGGTGATACCTGGGATAAAAAGGTTATCATGGACAGGTTAAGATTAACAAATTTTTTTATTTTGAAAGAAGAGTTAGAGAGGAATTTAAAAAATTGATTGACACATCATATTTTTTTGTACTTAATTGTTGAGAACGGATGGATTAGAGGACACAAATATAAACTTCGGCAGGGTAGGAGCAGTGGCGTAGTGATAGGTGGGTAAATGGGGCTACTTTTTTGGAAGCGATAAACTAGTTTCCAACAACAGTTACTTAACCCTTTTGATGCTATAATCATGAAAATATGACTGTAGAATTAGTACTATTAGATGTAAAAATCCCAGTTCAGCCACAAGCACTAAAACATTTATCCTTCTAGTATCAGAATTTCTGTGGACCAAACTGCTGGGAAATGGGCCACAAAACCCTGTACACGCTGTCATCTGTCAACAACGTTGGTAAACATTCATTTGCTTGCACTTATCACCCATGCTAGCCACGCATTCCCATACCTGTATTTTGACCATAATATAGGTAAGTTATATGCCCAATAACATCAAAATATACAGAGCAAGAGTTTCTGCTTCATAATAAAGAAAATATAATAAACAGGTATGTGAATTGCTATTTTTTATGAGTAGACCATGGGAGTTTCTCACTGTCTTACAAGTATTATTTTGCATCCCCTACTCTGTGTACATTTTATTCATATTTTAGCTATATTACAGATAATTTATATCATTACAAGAACATCATGTTATACAATGTAAGAATTTATACTCCATAATATAAAGAAAATATAATGAACTGTAGATAACCAATATAGCTTACTTGAGACATCAGATTCAGAATGTGAGACGTGAGTTACACGTGGCTTGGTACACAATCCTGATTGGGGGTCAGGACACCTTCATCTAATGTCTCAGTTAGTTGCTATTTCAACTACAAAGTAGATTAGGTTATTTTGCATAGCTTTATAATATCTTTATATATTTATAAATGCAAAGGAAGGAATTAGGGAGGAAGTATGTTAGTGGAGAGGGAGAAAAGAGTTTGTGATAACGGAATGAATTAGAACATTTTCTGTCGTGGCCACCCCTTGTCTTTACTTTTTTCAGATGAACCATTTTTACCATGAGCAAGCTGCTTACACCACATCTAAACAGGGCCATCTACAAGCGCCTTCACCAGGCTCGAGATCAAGAGAACCAGAAAGGCATAGTTGCCTTACAAAAGAAAGAAATTCAATCATAAACCAGAGACTGAGGAGACCTTACCTAAAATTCAAGAACAAGAAAGACGGGTTGCATCAAAGCAGGAGACCATTGAAGCAAATGAACTGCCTGAGCTTCATCGATCTACTGATCTACCTAAACCAGATTACAGTGTGGCTACACCCTATTTCTCAACATACAAGAATGCATCTGGTGATGAAAGGCCCTCTGGGTATTCAGAACAGAGATGAGCCTTTTCTCAAAAATCAGGAGAATCGTCTGTCTGGGGAGTGGTTTTTTTCAAAAAGCTAAAGAATGGATAAAAATTTATGCCATTGGTTGCTCTATTCACCTTCATTGGGCAGCCTCTAATGCTTTTGCTGCTGCTTTTTCAACCCTTGTAGTAGCTCCTTTGCCAAGAAGGAGGGATTTAACAAGTGGAGGACATTAAACCCTTGAGTATCTGATCATGAACAAAGTCCAGGTCATGAGAGAGCATCCATAACGTGGAAAGAGATGTGTATTCACTTAGAACAAGAAGCAACAATAGATCATGACATCCAATTTCAGGTTGAAGGCAAAGTGGCATGCCATGCTCAAACATATTCTTGACAATACTATGTACCGGTCATGGCAAAGTCGCTATTTGAGGGCATAGAGAGTTTCTCACCTGAAATGACTAATAAATTGGGGAATTTCCTTGTACTGATGCAACTGTTAGGAAAATACAATCTGGTACTGAGAGAGCATTTGATGAACATTCAAGCTGTTCCCCATCCTACAGTCACGTACTTCTCACCCACCATTCAAAATAAATTTATACAACTTTTGGATAGCCAGGTCAAGTCGAACATCATCAAAGAGGTCAAACTGCAAAATAATATGCCACCATCTTGGATAGTACTCCAGATTAATCACACACATTGTCAGATGTCTCTGATTCTAAGACATGTCCATATCTCACATGAGAGCCCTCTCTTGACTTCATGCAGCTGAAAGGCAAGACGGCTGACACTTTAACAAAACAATTTGTTAGCAAGTTGCAAGATGACAGCCTTGACCTTATGAACCTCCTTGATCAGGGGTAAGACAATGCCACTACAATGGCCAGGGTTAACAGTGGTGTTCAATGGAAAATCACTGACAGCAATCCAAAGATTGTCTTCATTTTCTGTACCAACTATTACCTTAATTTGGCTGGGGTTCACTCTACTGCAACTATAGTGAACACCGTGACTTTCTTAGGGACAATCAAGCAACTTTACAAGTTTTTCTCTGTCTGAACTCACTGGTGGAAAATCTTTAAGCAGTTCGTCTCAAGGAAGATGGAGAAGCAAGTTTGTGAGACTCAATGGAGCTCCAAGTAAGATGCAATTGATGCTGCATGGTCCCACCTTTGCAAAATATTTGAAGCCCTGGAGGAGCTTTGTAATAGTAACACTGAGGCACAAGACACATGATCAGATACAGCTATTTTGTTGAATAATATGATGACCTACATTTTCACCATATACCTATTCTTTTGGAAACTGATGATAACTCAGATTAATGAAATGAAAAAATCTTTCAAATGGCTTGGCTATGGCTAGATGCCTCTGCTGCCAAATTAGAGCCCCAAAATAATCGGGATAACATCATAGAAGAGGCAAAAACCAAGGCTGCCAATTTTTGCAAGCGAATGGGAATCAGAGGATATAGAGGAAGAAAAGAATGCCAGAAGAAGACAAGATCTCTTATTAGAAGACAAGATGAAATGAGAGCAGTATGAAATCCTGGATCAGCTTTATGAGGAAATGGCCCAACACGGCCATTAGATGAGTGGCATAAACATTAAGTTTGGGTTTCTCATGTCACTCATTAACCTGATAGACCCATCCAATGACAGCAACATTGCCACAAAAATCCACCATCTCACAGAGATGTACAATATCATCTCCAGCGAACTACAGAGGGAGATTCATCATCTTTGTTGACACATCAAAATGTATGAGGAAACCAATGGGAAGGAAACAGTCGACTGGAAGGTATATGAAATCTTTGAATATGTTGTAAAGTGGGGATTTGAAGAATCTTTCCCTAACCTTCTCATCATATTGAGGACATTTCTCACCATGGGTGTGAGTATTGAAACATGTGAGAAAAGCTTCTCCAAACTGAAACTGATTAAGACCTATTTCAGATCCACAATGAGCCAATCTAGGCTCAATAATCTAGCCATCCTCTCCATTGAGCATGAACTAGCCGAGTCAATTAGCTTCAAAGCTGTGACAGAGAAGTTTGCCTCATTGAAGGGTAGGAAGATGTGAACCACACCGTCACAACAATAACTTCAGGTCTGGTAGGACAATGATCATGTAGAAAGGTAGAAAACAAAAGTGTAACTATTTAAATGCAAATATGCTGTATTAGATTTGTAATAAAGTTATTTTATTTCAGCACACAAGTCCTTAAGCGACGGCACTTTGAAATCTTGCCCTGAGGGCATTTTTCCACACTATGCCACTGGGTTGGAGTATCTTTACCTATGGCAGTTTTATTTTTCTGATACAGCAATTAACCTTTGGAATTGGTTGTCTTCAGATGTGGTGGATGCAGTAAATTTAATGGAGTTTAAGGGAAGGTTTGCTAAGATTTTAAATAATAGGTTGTAGCTTTACTTAAAGCTTAGTTTAGTGGACAGGATGGCCTGAAAGGACTAACAGGTCCCTTGTTGTCCTTAAATTTTATGTTCATGTAACAAATTAAGTTTTCTATGTTTTAAATACTATAATGCAGAATTCTTTCCATTTTCATGGTTATAAATATATGTACAATTTTATAATCAAAATGTAAGATGAGTCCTAAAGATATTTTCATTATTAGTTTCCTTTTTGTGAATAGCTAAGTATGCATACTAATACTGTTTAACTGTAACTATCCTATAAATACTCACTGATGATCACATAACAAACTATGTGTAAAGCAATGATGTATTTTATAAAGCTTTTAGATTTCTGTAGCAGCTTTGAAATAGTATTTTATATTTGTAGTAACTTATGGAATAAGAAGTGATGATTTTATCACAATAATCTCAAAGAAGTTGCTCTGATACAACAGTTACCTAGTTTACTTTTATTGTATAAAAAATTCTTAAAAACCAAAAAATTGTTAGTGTGTTTTAAAAGTGAGAAAATAATACACTGTATTTGTATTCAAATGTTTGAAACTTAGGAAGAGGTTAACTTACTCAGAGGTGAACCAGCTGATGGAACCACATACACTCCAGGTAACCTTTGTCTCTGAAGCATCACACTGTGGGATAGGGGAAAAGTTACATGAATATTATTACATCACAACTTGGATAATATTTTTAATATACACTGGTTGAATTATTTTGAAATGCACACAATCTCATGAAACTGGTGTTTACTTTTGATATTTCAACCACCTACATGTTTTTTCAGGTGTGTGTATACTAGCTGGATTACCCATTCATTGGATGAGTGAAATAAAAACTCACTTCTAACAAAGGATAGGAAACTGTGCCTTTTTTTTCCTCCTTAAAATAATAGAATTAAAAGTACAATAAAAATACATAAAGGTACCAATACTGAAAAGAAAGACATACTGTTTTTTAAAATAGTAACAATAGTGGTTACATAGTTCCTTCTAATGCTGGGGAATATACAAAATAGGTAGTTTCTCTAAAATTAGATGTGGGGGTCCAGCCCCCCTCCCCCATGACCTTCCTCATGTCATTCTTTATCACTGTGTCAAGATTGGTGCTGATTGATCAAGAAATGTGAAAATGTATAAGGAACAGATATACGCACACATATTGACGTTTATTGATATATATATTAATACAAAACATTCTTTATCAGATATATAGAATTTCTTTACTTACTAACTCAATTTAATGAACAGATAGTCTGAAAATATAATTATCTTACTAAAAGCAACTAGTAGATTAACTTTTTATCTCAATAAATAATACATCTTTTGATTCTTCTCACTTCACTGAATAGGATACTGATTACTGCATCATCTTTAAAATCAGTACTTATCTTAAAAATCACAACTCTGGCTTTGTGGGCTTAAGGATGAGGTTTATTTGAAAGAGGAGTGAAATATGGTTGGATAGTGAATGGTTAAAACATATTTTCACTGCAGAAGCTACAGCAATTACCACATACCACAGTTTGTAAAAACATGGGGTTTCAAATCTAGGGAAATACTGACAGAGATTACAATGTGTTTGAAAATATAATTGGTAATAGCAACAAAATTATTAATGTAGCAGCACACAAGGACAAACTTCATGTTATATACCATTGAACACTTGCAACCCAGTTCTTTCAGACAAAAACATTTGATTCATATGAGAAATAATAGTTTATGAATTAATCTTAAGCTTAGCATCAATAAACAGAGGACTCAAACAACAGCAAAGTATATGAATTAACATTAAAACTGATTATGGAAAAATCTTGGTGAATCATTTATAAACGTTCTTGAATCTTCTCAACATCCACTTCAACTCATCAAGTTAACAAAGGAAATATCAGATTAATTCTTTATACAAATCAAGATATCCAGAAGTTTAATGAACTGTCTAAACCATGTTAAAGAAGCAGTTGTAGTTTAATTAAACAAAATAATAAAAACAAAAACTTACTACTCAGTCATCAAGGAGTATTCCACAAAGAATGGTGCATAACTTGGGTCACTTCTTGGGCTAATGGTCTGACCAACCATATTCAGAGACATTCCATACAATGGAACTAAACATGAAATAAAACCTGAAAAGTTATAATATTTTACACAAGTTTAGTTTCAGTAAAAATATGTATTAAAAAAACCATAAAAGAACGTGGATAAACAAAATCATTAAAATATTTTAGTTTAGCTAAAATAAAAAGAGACTCACAAAGTAGATGGAACAATATTCTAATTAAAGTTATGAAATGGTTAGCTGAAAGTTTCAATAGTAGTCTTGAGTATATGTAAGATATTTTGTTTAGAACAAAAATTTAATCAGAACTATTATCTTTTTTAACACAAGACTTAGCAAATCCTAGTGTTTCTTTTTCACTTTTGTAGATCAAGAGACAGTGGTGCCTGAGAACTGAAGGGTTGCTTATGTTATTTATATTTTTAAAGGACATATTAAGAGTTGTGAGAGAAATTACATGCTAGTTAATCTTACTTGCATAGCAGAAAACATTCTTAAGTCTGATAAAAGAAGCTTTGCATAATAATTTAGATAAATATATTATCATAAAAGAAAGTAAACATGGATTCACCAAAGGGGAATCTTGCCTAACTTATCTGTTACCTTTTTCTTGAGGACGTTACTTGTTGTACTGACAAAGGAAAGACTGTGGACTTGGTGTACTTAGATTTTCCATAAGCTTTTGATTAGGTGCCACACAAAAGATTAGCTAAGTAAATCACATCAGTAGGAGTTATGTAAAGACTAGATAATGGGATTACAGGGTGGTTGGATGGGAAAAAAGCAGCAAACATTTGTTACTAATGAAGTCTCGTCAAACTGATAGACCCTTGTTACTAGTGGAGAGCCTCAAGGGTCAATGGTATGATACTGATATGGGGAGGGCATAATCAGTTGGACAAACAATTGGTAAATTACCTTTAACTAAATTAAGTGCAATGGTTATCATAACTTTGATCACACATTTAATACAGATGGTTTAACTTAGATGTGGTAGATAAGTCAATCAAGACAGCTATGTTGCTAATAGTACATACTGACTACAAGTCAAAAACAGGCATTCCTTTTCTATACAAATCACTAGATAGTTGTCACTTGGAATACTGTATTTTTTTGGTGCAAAATAGACATGATCGTTAAAGAAAAAAAAAGGGTGGCTGCAAGTACAAAACCAGGTTGGATTACAAAGAGCATAAGAGATACATTTAAAGAAAAGCATTACAAAATTGACAAACTTTAAATTTACTTCTGTGACAGGAGAGAGAAGATTATAGACAACCAAGAGAAGTGGTCAAACAGGACATTAGGAAATCAAAAATTGTACATGAAAAAAAGGTTGCTTGAAAATGTATGAATTAGGAAGGATTTCTATAAATACGTTAAAAGCAAAATGTTAGGGCCTTTGAGGGATGACACAGGAATGCTCATTTATGTTGCTTGAGATGGCTAGGTTTCTAGATTTTAATTCTTCTTAAATTTTTACAAATGAATATTTAAGCAGTATCCCTCATCCTAAACAGTTGCTAGATGCAGTGGCCCTGGGACAGTGAATAATATGGGGCCCCCTCATGCATATTATTTTTGTTATAAACTTGTTACTTCATGATTAAATATACATCTTAGTCTACAGATGTGTGAATATTTATAATTACATTCCATTTCTTTTGTATATGTACATTTTTAATTGTTAATCCTATTTTAACAACATAAATCTTGCCTGAAAAAAAAAATTATTTATTCATAACCATAATAAAATTTCAAGTAGCACTCCCACCTTAAAAGAAACATTTTTTAAATACTCATTTCCTATCAAATTATTCGTCCTTTTTCAACAACACTCTTTACATACAGTATCCTAGCTTATACTTTTTGGGGTACCCATTTGCCTTGGGTTCCCTGGGCAGCAGCCCTGTCACTGACTAGATGGAAACAAGATCAAATAAGACAATCAAATTAATTCTGACCTTAAGAAAAAATCAGGATGTTAAAAGAATGATAATTCTCCTGGACTAGACATTTCCCCAGAGTTTTAAAGGGGGTTAAGGACTGGATATGTGAACCACTTATTACTATTTCTTGCAAATTCATGAATAGTGTACAGGTGCCAAAAGATAGGAAATTTGCTAATGTTACTCATCTTTTTAAAGAAGGTGATAAGAAAAATTGTTCATGTAATTATAGGCCTGTTAGCCTTACATCTGTGTTGGAAAAGTTTTTAAAAGTTTGATAAAATATTTGTTGTAAATTATTTAAACAATGTTTAAAACTGTTTTGGGTAGTCACTTGGGAAAAATATTGCCTTACTAATCTTTTGACATTCATTAAAGTGGCTGCTGTTTAAGTAGCTGAAGTTAAGGGTGTAGACTGAGTATTTTGATTTTCAGAAAGCATATAAAACACTTGTTAGAAACGAACAATATATGTGGTGGATAAGTTGGTTTATTGGATAAAATGTTTCTGGAAGGTAGAATGCAGAGAGTTGTTATAAATGGAGTTTAAACAAGTTGAATTAATGTCACCAAAGGCATACCTAAGAGTTTAGTTAGGACCTTTACTCATTTTAATTTACATCAATATGACACAGACAAAGGAATGATCAATAAATTTCTTAAGGTCTTGGGTGTTGCTTGCTGTGAGAAAGATTCTGTTGCTTTACAAAATGATTTACAATATTTGGTGAGTTGGGCAAATAAATTGCTTGTTTGTTGAATTTCCCACATGGATAATGGGCAAAATAAATGGCAGACAGCTTTTAATTATTATAAAAGCAACATAATTTATTTGGATTATCATAGGTTAAATTTTATATGAATAGGACTTTTGGTTATATCTATATAGAAATACTGAACATAAGTCAAAAGAAATTGTAATTTCCTTGTACTTGTTAGGCCTCATTTGAAATATTGTGTTCAGACTTGAGCTCCTTACCTTAGGAAAGACACTAAATTATTGGAAAGGGTTCAGAGGAGGGTTACTAGCACTAGGGTGATACCTAGGATAGAAAGGTTGTCATACAAGGACAAATTTAAAAAAAAGTTAAGATGTCTCATTGAGGTATTTTTAAATATTACGGGAATTGATAGTGTGGATGTATCATCTTTTTTCATATTTAATTGAGAGAATGGTAAGACTTTGTAACACAAATACAAATTTTGGCAGGGTAGGATTCATTTTCAGTTAAAATAATTTTATTATTCTCAAAGGGTGGTTAACCTTTGGAAATGGTTGCCTTTAGATGTTGTGGATGTAGTAATTTTATGGGAAGGCTTCATAAATACTGAAAATAAGTGGCTTGTATTTTTTAAATAGTTTAGTGGGCTTACACAGCCCAGATAGACCACCATACTCCGTTGTCCTTAAATTACACATTATAGTTTGTATCTGGGATGGAAACAGGAGAGGCTGTCAAATGTGGAAAGGTTAAGATCTCTGAAATTTTCTTATGAAAAAAAAAAAGAGTTAAAAAGAATCTTATTGAGGAGTTTAAGGTTATTAATGGAATTCACACAATGACAGTATTGATGCATCATTGTTTTTCGTATTTATAATTTAATTTTGAGAATAGCAAGACTAGGATTCGTAGTACGAACCAAATGCCACTTTGTTAAAAGTGTGAGGAGAGAGGGGCAGTGTAAACTGTAAGGAAGGACTGTCGAGCAAACACAGCGAGAAAACTTTATGCTAAAAAATATTGAAAGTGAAACAATGAAAGCTGGGTGGCATATGCCTTGGACAAAAATATAAATTTTGGCAGCATTTCACTAATATTTAAGTTAATAACGATCATGTTGCCTATTAGTAGTACTACCATTTATAACTAATAATAATAATTAATACTACTATATTATTAGCATTAATATGAGCCAGCCTAGGGCATTTCCTTTGCTGTCCACTTACTTTAATTTTAAGTTAATAGTAATACACTATGTTATTACGTTACTCAGTAAAGTTTGTTAGTTCGTCAACTGTCAAAAAATTGTGTATACACAATAGTATTCTACCTTCAATTTCAGTCTTACCTTTATAAAAAAGTTTCAAAGGCCTTCTAGGTTAAAAATAAAAAGCTCATACAATACCATCGTATTGGCAGCATCTAAACATTGAATTCTCGAAATATCCGCTAGAGGGATAGTTTTGCATATAACATTTCTAAATTGTCTGTCTTGCTAATTTAATACATATAACTTATATGTAAAGTTTGTTCTAGTAAAATTCAATAAATAAAATGTGGCATAAAATAACATTAGATTAATACAATTGTTGCTGTTTTATTTTTTAAGATTGCCGGGTATCTTACATTTTGAATTATAGCCAGAAAACAAAACAAGGGTCAAAGGTTTAGTAACTGGAATAGAGTGCACAATACAATAAAAAAAAAGAAAGAAAAATAATTCGAAAAGAGGGGGACTTTGAACCATGCAATGGAGCATGGATATTTTATATTAATTTTGTTATCTTCTGTAAGATCATCTCTAACCCTTCTTTTCTTGAAAGAAGGTAAGTTTAAAGAGAAATTAATCAATCCTTCCATATACAGAATTATCATACTCGCTCTCCTATGAGCGTGTAATATGCAGGTATGTTATATGTTTTTAAATCTGTAGTGATATACAAATTTTAATAATGTTTCATTTATTTAGTTTGCATGCAGTTTTATCTCTGTAAGCACACACACTCCATTTTTATTTGTTTAATAATAAATATTGTGTTAGTTTTCACTAACTTTATTCAATCTTGTTACTTAATTCACACTAGAAACTGCAGTTATCAAATTCAGAATTATTCTTCTTATTTCCTATGTGAATCTGCAGTTAGAAGCAATATAACGATATGATGGTTAATGGAAAATCAGTTTTTACCAGAAAATACTACAAACACATTATAATAAATCAATATCCATTCTTACCTATCTACCACCATACTAAAATCATTTTCTTTAATTGTAACATTGAGTGGATAGAGGCATGAGTTGAATTTCTTTTTTCAACTGACTGGCAAAAAACAAAAATATATCAAGTAACCAGTTGAAAAATTACAAAACTCAAAGACTAAAGAAAATATATCTATCTTTATTATTGTTGATAAACATTAAAAAGAAAAAAAAGCGAACATAGTATATAGGCAATTAGAACTGAACATGAAATGTATTGCTGTTAAATGTATCAAAGAATGTCAGAATGAATAAACAAAATCATCACTAACTAGCATTCTCTGTACACAAAGTGTATTTTTTTGTGTGCACATATAAGGCGATATCCTGGAACAATCTTTATACTTTTGAGAAACAAAACATGCTGTTAGTATTCTAGTAATTCTTTAAATGCATATATTGCAAGATTTGACCTTTTCTTCGGGGAAAAAAGCAAATTTGCATTTTTTTTTTAATTTATACATTATTATATGCAAAAATATGAATATACTGAAAATTTTCTAGTATATATTTAGAAAGTGTGTGCAAATGATTTTAAACAAAACAGGACAGTATAATCAAAATGAAACTATTATTGAACATCAGTTATCAGTGACCCATTGTTTGGTAAAACAGAAATATACTGTAAATAGCAATAGCAGTTTATAGTTGTCATGGATGAATGATATGTAGCTCAATTTTAAAGGTGAAAGTCAGAACATTTTGCCATATATATTATATGTATACAACAACCTAGTTGTAGAAAAACCTTTCCATTGAAATCACTCTATGACCACCCATTTTTTAAATTATTGTCCATCGTCTACTTGGTCTCTTAATTAGCCAATTATTTGTTATTCAACAATGTCACCCATGAACCGTGGTGTATTTACCAAAACCTTGCACTCCAAGAGAGTTGGGAGATTAATGGAATTCGGTAATCCATTAATTATCCTCATATGAGACTAATCTTTCTATATTCAGCCTTTGTCCTTTTTTCAAAGACATTTTCGAAATTGATGAGTTTTATTTCATGTTTCATCTGTTTTTATTATAAAACGACTAAAGTTATTTGATTTTACTGTATGTGTAGAGACTCAGTTTTAAGTTTTAAGACTTTTGCAGGTACTTTTACCTTTTTAGCCGCAGCTGAGTAGCTCGTAGAACGGCTCTGTGTTTGTTTTTGTTTTTTTAGTCGCGGCATAGCGGCTCACAGAACAGCTGTGAGTTTTTGTTTGTTTTTTCAAGTACAAACTTTTAGCTCATAGCTTTCTCATCTCTTGACCCATTGGAGATCTAATTAGAGTTTTGGACTCAGGAGGTCAAATCCTTTCGATTGGTGTATTTGATCACGCCCAAGGTCTCATAGATCAATTTATTCTAATCCTGCCTAAAATAATTTCAATTTAAGGGTAGGCTAGTAGAGATCCTGATGAGTAATAAAATCGAATCGGTTATACGCGTGCCCCATGCTTGGTATTGCTGGCGCATGAAATTACAGCTAATAAAAATCGAAACAAAGGTCTCACAGATTAATTTTGTCTACTTCTGCCTAAAAGAATTTCAAGTGCCGCGGCTATTGAGAATTCCCTCTTGTTTGTCTTATTACTGTTTCAATTGTATGAAAAATGCAGTTATTTCTCTTATTGGTGTCTCCTAACTCAAGGATAACACTACTTCACGTGTTGTGCGTTTCTTTCTGTCTCTTTACTATTGCTAATATAGACAAAAAAAAGACTACCTTTTTCATTTGACGTTTCTCTCTATGTGCAGTCTCAATTTTAAGGTTTTAAACTTCTATATGTATTTCTTCGCATTTTACGTCTACTTACTATCTCAAATATAGAAAAATAGCAGTTGTTTTGATTTCTCTGTTTGTCTTTTTCAACTGAAATAGACAAACAGCATAAAAGGCGAAGGAAATACACGCAGAAGACAGTACTCAGAGAGAGAGAGAGAGAGTTGTTTTGCACTAGCAGCAGTGAAAAGATAGAAAGAAACACAACCTACCTGCAGTAGTCTTTTCTTTGAATTAGCAGAGACGTGAAGAAATAAAGCGAAATAGCTGCTGTTTTTGTAAATTGAGTTAGTAAACAGACTGAAAAAGTAAATAAAATACCTACAAGAGTCTTATATTTTAAAATTGAAACAGTATACATATAGAAACGTCAAATGAAATGCCTAACGTTGTGTCATACAAGAAATAATAAATAGGCAGCAAAGAAACGTTAAAAACATAACATAATATAATGTTTAGGGACAACAAGAGACATATTCGCCCACCTAGCCTGTCCCATCCTCTAAAATAAACTAAATAAAGAAACATTCAAAGCCAGCCCCTATTATTCATATAGTTATCACGCTTTCTCTTAGACTCACTTACATTTACTGCCTCCACAACATCCAAATGCATCCTGCTCCAAAGGCCAATCACCCTGTTAGAAAAATGAAACTGTCTTAGCTGAAGATGATTCCTACCTTGCTAAAATTTATATTTATGTCCTCTAGTCCTACCATTCTCACAATTAAGTATGAAAAAAAGATGATGAATCAACACTATCAATTCTCTTAACAATCTTAAACACCTCAATCAGATCCCCTCTAACTTTTCTTTTTTCAAAAGAAAACAGTTTCATAGATCTCAACCACTCATCGTATGGCAAACCATTCATCTCAGACACCATTCTAGTAACCCTCCTCCGAGCTTCCTAAGGTAAGGAACCCACGATTGAACACAATACTCCAAATGTGGCCTTAGCAGTGACCTATATAATGAAGTTATAACCTATTTAGACTAGTATTCAATATTTCTGTTGATGCATCCTAAAATCTTATTTGCCCTAGCACTAGCAACAGCACATTGCTTGGATGTCTTTAAAATTTGATAACCCAAATGTATTATCTTGCATTTATTATAATTAAAACCCATCAACCATTTATTTGCCCATCTCACTAAATGATCTAAATCCTTTTGTAAAGCAGCAGCATCCTCTTCACAGCTTAATGTCTTAATATTGTTGCGTCAACGAGGTCACGTTACTAGTATCACGCCACCTCTTTCTAGAAATATCCTGTTCCTTCAAGAATGCCCTAGCATTTACTAGATATGTGTTAGTCTTGTATATATAAGACGTTCACAATGTGATGAGACAACAGTGTAGTGAGTAATTGAACTGCAGTCAGAGAGTGTGTAATTAAATTGAGTATTGTTGAAGTCGAGCACGTGAGACGTCTGTTATAGCGCAACTGTTGAAATTAAGTGTATCGCAAAGTTATATTCAGAAAGAATAAACCAGTTTTATTTAAGAAAGGACTTGTGTCGCTAAAGTTGCGTCGGAACGAATTTACGGAAAATTAACTAACGAACGGAGACGTAACAATATCATCCGCAAATTTAGTAATTCATTAATCATTCTTTCATAAGTGCCATTGATGTAAACAAAAATGAGCAAAGGTCCTAAGAATGAAACCCGAGGTATCCCACCTGTGACATTAATCCAGTTTGACTAAACTCCATTTATAACAACCCACTGTTTTCTTCCATCCAGCCACTCTTCTATCCAATTAACTAAATTATCCTCCACACCTATAGAGAGAATTTTTCCAAGCCTTTTATGTGTCAAATGCTTTATGAAAACCCAGATACACCAAATCTACATCTTTACCCCCGTGTTCATAACCAGTAACCTTTTCAAAGAATGTCAAAATATTTGTAAGGCAACATTTTTCCTTTTTCCTTCTAAATTTTGTTAAATGCCTTTGCAAAGTATCTTTCATCAAACTTTCCAAAATGTTTCTCACAATTGATGTAACACTAATAGGCCTATAATTACTGAAACACTTTTTATAAACTCCCTTAAAAAGAGGAGTAACATTAGCCACTATTCAAGGACTTACAAAATATAGTAGCAATTGGCTCACATATCCAATCTTTAACCTCATTCTAAACCCTTGGGGAAATGTTATCTGGCCCAGGAGCCTTATCGTTCTTTAAACTTTCCAATCTTTTCTTAACAAGCTCAGAATTAATACAGTCATTTTGTTCGATCTTGTTTCCATCTAACAACTGTTTAAGATGAAGAATATTGCTTAACTCTTCATTAATGAAAACTGAAGAAAAAGCAGAATTTATTAACCCAGCCATCTCATAATAATCAGATACGAGCCTCCCTTCATCATCCCTCAAAGATCCCACCCCATTATTAACATTTTGTTTATTCTTAATGTATTTAAAGAAATCCTAAATCCTTATTGTTAATCTTTATATTTTCAGCCAATCTTACATTTCTTAAATTTGAGATAGTTTTCTTTAATTTTATCTTATATACCCTTTGTGAGCCAACCTAGTTTTTCTTGCAGCTACCATTTTCTTTCTCTAAGGAATATGTTTATATTGAATATTTAAAAATGCATCTTTAAACATTTACCACATCTTAACAGTGTTCCTAATAACTCAGCTGCCCAATTCACAACAGATAATTCTTGTTGCATCACTTAAAAATTGCTTTTTAAAAATTATAACCAAAATATCATTATTCCTGATCTCCATATACAAAAAACATCGAACCTAATATAACAATAATTACTTGTACCCAGATGTTCCCCTGTTTCCACCCTCTCAACCATTTCTATATTAGAAGTTAACAATAAATCTAAAATAACTTTGTTTCGAATAGGTTTCTTAACCAATTGGTGAAAACAAAAAACATCTTGAACAGTTTCCAAAAAATCTCTCTCCACATGTGTTATTCTTGAAAGAATAAAGACATTGAGAAAGAAATGAAAATATCTGGATTTGTGTTAAACCAAAAACAGTAACGAGACCGCAAAATTTTGTTTTTGAATTTCGCGCAAAGCTACACGAGGGTTATCTGCGCTAGCCGTCCCTAATTTAGCAGTGTAAGACAAGAAGGAAGGCAGCTAGTCATCACCACCAATCGCCAACTCTTGGGCTACTCTTTTACCAACGAATAGTTGGATTGACCGTCACGTAATAACGCCCCCACGGCTGAAAGGGCGAGCGTGTTTGAGCAATTGCGAATCGAGCGCCCTAACTACCTGGCCATGTCGGGCCATTCTAGAGCGAATAAAGGCGCAAAGAAAAAAATCAAAATAATTGATGTTCATACATTTTATACAACACACTTACTGAAAACGCTGATATAATACTTACAAGAACTTTAAATCTTAAAGCTGATACTTTAGAGAGAAAGGGGAGTCAAATGAAGTACTTAAAGTTTTGTTACTCGAGAAACAGTAAAGTATCGGAAAAGAAACGTGAAATACGGCCATAGTTTTGTTTTTTAATTCACATGGAAAAAGAGAAGAAACTGAAAATAATAACTGTTTTTAGTCAACGTCTCACGGTAAATCCACAAAAATGGTAAATAAAACAACTCTAGGGGTAGTAAACTTAAAAACGGAGATTCTATTGATATAAACATAGAAAAGTCAATTGAAATAAGGAAAGTTGGTTTATACTAAAAGCAGAAATAGAGAGCAAAGAAACGTGAAAATCGTGCAGTAGTGTCATAGTTGAAGTAATAAAACAAAACAACTGATATTTTTGAAAATTTGAGAGAGTGAACAGACCAAAAACACAGAGGAAATACCTGCATATTCCCAAGTCCTAAAACTGAGACCCTACACATAAAAAAAGTTAAATTGAACACCTGAACAGTAAAGAGACAGCAAAGAAATCTACTTAATACAGAAAAATGGAACAAAATAATTGCTGTTTTCATATATTTGATAGAATATATTGTTACGTCTCTGTTCGTTTGTTTATTTCCCATAGAAATTCTTTCCGAGAAACTTCAGCGATACAAGTCCTTTCTTAATTAAAACTATTTTATTCTTTCTCGATACAACTTTGCAATACACAATACGTTTGCAATTTCGATAACAAAACATTCACTTTATATTACCGTCACTGCCGCTCGCTTGACTCAATTATCTGTCTCTATATCTATCTGCCATTATATCTCCGTTTTATTTGCCGGGCTTATATACTAAAAAGAGGGCCTCTGGAACAGATTAGAGTTGCCAGGAAAAGTCATGATCCTTCTAAAATCTCCAGCGCGCATGCTTCCAGCGTCGCGTGAATTTCCCTGTCGTAACAATATATATTTTTGAATGTAGTTTTTAATGCTGATTTTAGAAATATAAATTAAGATTTGGAGAAATGAGAAGATTTTTTTTTATTTTGCTAGGTTAGGTCAAGTTAGATTAATTAGTAAATAGTTACATGTTTATTTAAATATTAGTTTGTTTGTAGTTAAGCACAAAGCTACACAATGGGCTATCTGTGCTCTGCCCACCACGGGTATAGAAACCCGGATTCTAGCGTTGTAAGTCCGCATACATACCGCTGTGCCATTGGGGGGCATTTATTTAAATGAAAAATAAATTTCATTGGAAAAATATATAAAAAGATGAAAATATTTTCCCATTACTTTCACTTAAAAATCAATTCTCAAAAAATTAATATATATATTTCTGAAATCTGCAGCAAATTAAAAGTACAAGGAATGTGGTAAGCATGAAAATGATTATCTCTTCAAGCAAATATTTAAGAATATTTCTGAATTTTCACATTGAATTTGTTATATTGTCACTAGATACTTGGTATTGTCTTGATGTTTTGTAGTCCTTTTAAATACATAGATATATATGTAATGCTAAAAGTACTTCCTTTGTTTCATTTGTTTTCATTTTTTCCAAATTATAATACATATTTCTGAAATCAGCATTAAAAACTACATTCAAAAATGTATATTATTTTCTATTTAAACGCGGTGCATGAAACAGAAAAGATCCAATTAGGCTAAGTATTAAATTGTTATACCTTTCAGTTTATGATTTTAGAAGTTTTGTACAAATCTACACAAACAGCTGTTTGCGCATAGCCGTCCCTAATTTTCAGTTGATAACCTAGAGGGAAGATAACTAGTCAGTACAACTCACTGTCTAGCCAATACCACTCACTGTCAACCAATAGGCTACTCTTATTTGACTTAATAATTGGATTTGACCGTTAATATTATAGCGCCCCCATGACCCGAAAGTGCGGAGCGCGGTTTGTTTTTGGCAACAGGTCATGAACCATGAATCTTCGGGATCACAGACTGAGCACGCTAACGACTAGTCACAGAGTTTTAGCAAAAACAAAATTCATATCATGATGTTCTACAGAGTATAAGTTTATTTAATCATCAGCAGATTGTATATCTAGTATGCACACATATCTGTACTAAACAATATGTAAATTGTCACCTTCATTTCAATGCTAAAGTCAACTTAGACTTACCTACTCTTGTTTACATTATTAAATTTTTACTTTCACAAGCGCGCGTCTTACATGCAAAGTAACAGTAGGCATCTGAAGTCACGTGATCTGTAGGTAGCACTCGAGTGTGTAGGATGATCACCCGCAGTAGTATTCCTCTACCATTACTCGAACTTTTCGATATGTCAAAAATGTGGCTTATATTTGTTTATTAAAAAGAGATATGTAAATATTTTGTATTTCATTTTAACAAAATCAAATGCGGAATGTGATGTGTTATGAAACTTCATACGTATGTGGTCAGAAAACAATCCAGATTAATGTGTACAAATTATTAACTACCGTTAAAAAGCTGAAGACGAGAAAAGAAACCACACAGGTAAGTGGATCCTGTCCTGTATTTTACTTCGATTGTTTCGTGTGTGTTTTTTTAAGGATGGGTTTTGAATCTTTTTTGTTTTTCACTAAGTGTGTAGAAGAAACCCTCTTGGTTGTAAACTGCTTTGGTTTAAAAAACAAAGGTACAGATACCAAAATATTTCAATAATTTTTGTTTAAAATTTATTTATTATCGGATACATAGAGTATAATACCTATGGTTCACCAGGTTAACCTGGCGTCATCAACAGAAACCTTGTGCAAGGCCTGTGTACTTTATGAAACACAAATAATAGGTTTCTTTGTTTGTAATTAAGCATAAAGCTACACAATGGGCTATCTGTGCTCTGCCCACCACGGGTATCGAAACCCGGTTTCATACCGCTGTGCCACTGGGGGGGGGGGGCAAATGATAGGTAAGAATAATATAAAATTATTCTCTTTGATATCTTTGATATCATCAGTTATTTGTTTTTCAAACATAATTAATACATTTAAAACATCGTTGAACTGCTGCACTCTGCGAAAGGTGGCACACAATAAATTAAGAGTAAACTAGAATCAAAATTGTTAAGAAAGGAAGAACGAAGATTTCAATACTATTATGTAACGCGGTTAATGATAAAGATCTTCCACAATTCTTGCATGCAGGAAACACGCTCTTTCAGAACGTCCTAATTCAAGTTTTGTTTTAATTGGATTAAAAATGAATAAAATATTTTTTATTATCTCCTGACTTATGTGATAATGATGAAAGTTATATATATATATATGTATTTTAAAGCCACTAAAACTGTAATTAAAGCTGTTCCATTACACTATACGAAATTTAACTAGTTCTATTTGTGTGTGTGTGCGTTATTGTTAGGTATTTTGAGAGAACGCTTTCCTGGCTTCTCCATGACGCAGCATCTAGGTAACCTGTAAACCAAGGTCCACATACATATAAACATGTGCATCAGCATTACCCGCTTATCAACACTAACCACCCTTGAACTGGGCCTTAACTGTTCAACTCTCAAATTTAATATCTAGTCATGTAGCAATGAAGATTAGGCTTCTTTATGTCACATCTTTTCTCATTTCCCCAAAAGAATTTGCAGTTAGGACCTTTTTTAACAATAATAAAAAATATTGAAAAGTTTTACAAAAACTAAATCAATCATGACACAGATTTTCTACATCGAGACTTTCAGTTTGAAATAATTCAATATTCTGTTAGAATGGGCTCAGAAACAATATTCTGTTAGAATGGACCCAGAAACAATATTCTGTTATAGTGGACCCAGAAACAATATTCTGTTATAGTGGACCCAGAAACAATATTCTGTTATAGTGGACCCAGAAACAATTTTCTGTTAGAGTGGGCCCAGAAACAATTTTCTGTTAGAGTGGGCCCAGAAACAATTTTCTATTAGAGTGGGCCCAGAAACAATATTCTGTTAGTGGGCTCAGAATAAATTGGTTTTTCAAGTACTCTTTCAGAGATTGATTTTTGCTGCACATATTTATTTTATATACAACGCTTGAATTCGGATTTCGTTACCCGTGGTAGACAGAGCTCAGATAGTCCATTGTGTAGCTTTGTGCTTAATTACAAACAAACAATTTGTTTTATACGTTCTTTATGTTTTTGACTGTCTTTTACGTTTAAATCTCTAATTCAGAAACAGTAAACTTCGATGGTGAGGTAGGCTGCTGATAATTTGTAATAAATGCATTTGTTCTGGTATGTCAGCAAATATTTCCGACTCAGTAAAAGTATTTACTCGTTCCAATGAATCAACTTTCATTGACCATGTGATTTGTCTATTTGTTACGAATTTCGCGCAAGGCTACACGAGGACTATCTTCGCTAGCCGTCCCTAATTTAGCAGTGAAAGACTAGAGGGAAGGACGCTAGTCATCGCTACTCTTTTACCAACGAATAGTAGGATTGCCCGTACATTATAACGGCCTCACGGCCGAAAGAGCGAGCATGTTTGGTAGGACAGGGATTCAAACCCGCAAATTACGAGTCGAGCTCCTTAACCACCTGGCCATGCCACGTGATTTTTCATGAAATAATTCTAGATCAGAAAATATACTGTCATGTCTAAATTTATTTTTACAGGTTTACAAAACGAGCCTATTTTATAGTGGGATACATAGTTTTTGTTATTATGAACCTCAACTTTTTCGTTGTTCCTTTCGTTACAATCACAACTTAACCGTTGTTTTCAGCAAATCATGTTAAAAACCAAGTTTAATTGCTTTATTAAATTGTCTTTTGTAAATATTGGATAATTTAAGTTTTTTGTGAATTTTAAATTTGAGTATATTATTCATATTTTTACATTTTATGATCAAAATAATGTAATAAATATTAAATAATAATCAAATAGGAAAAACTTAGAAAAAAATTATGCTTATCTTACTTTGGAGCACGTGAATAACAACAAATGATACAAAAATTTTGCACTATTCAAGAACGCTTGTAAGTTTTTCATCGTAACTGACTTCTTTTTTGTTTCAGTGACAAATACACTTCCTGAGACCAATATAGATCAGTTCAATATAGACGATTTTTCACTGAAGTTAACTATATAGACTTATTGAAGATGTGTACCTAAAATTGCATTTTCTGATGGAACAATATGAAACGTGATTGAGCATTGATAATATTTAGGTTCTACACAAGAGAGAAGTAAATGTCATGGACACCAGTGAATCTTCATAACGTGGGTTAACCAAGGTTAATAAATGTTAAGCGAACCAAAATCAGCACCAGTTTAAAAATATTCGGACATTAAGTCCTTCTGCAAATACATTATTATTCAAAACTGCATGGTTAATTAATTTGCTTTTACAACAGGATTTACTGTCTTTCTCCCGAGGACTTTAGATATTATTACTATTATACTTTACAACAGGATTTATTGTCTTCTTCCCAACGACTTTGGAGATTATTACTATTATACTTTACAACAAGATTTACTGTCTTCTTCACAACGACTTTGGAGATTATTACTATTATACTTTACAACAAGATTTATTGTCTTCTTCACAACGACTTTGGAGATTATTACTATTATACTTTACAACAGGATTTACTGTCTTCTTCCCAACGACTTTGGAGATTATTACTATTATACTACTTAGTTTATCAAAATGTTGCAGTGTTTAAGAATTCCTTTCATTGGTTTGGTATTTTTATCAATGTTCTTACTGTTATACGTTTTCTTGAGTGCAGACAGGATTCTAGACGGCACGAAACTGAGCAGAGATTTTAAAACACTCCCCTATAGTATAACCATGCAGTATATCGTAGCTTATGCAGCCAACACTCAAACATACACTTGTGAGACATTCTCTGTAAATTTTCCAAAAAGTATTTACAATTCAACATTATATGGGTGGAAAAGTCCTGTTAATGAGCCTGTATTTATATTTTCGGCATTCTTTGACAATCGCTACAGGTATACTAATCAGCAAGTACGTCTCATCGGAATGATCCAAGGTGACTTTAAAAAATCGCTTTATTGCCAGCTTTGGTACAAAAATATTTCTTTACCTATAGTAGTAGTAAGTGAAATGCGTGAGATGTGGCTTGATATTTGGAACAAAGCTGACCACTCTCAGTTTTATCGACCATATTTGATTAACTGTCCAGTACCTCAAGACGATCCAGTCTTATCAAGCCAAACTCCTCAGGGTGTATCCTTATCACTTCGTCCTTGCACTAATTCCTCAATCTTCTTCAAGTTGGATGTTCCACCAAGAAATGTGACCAAACACAAATTTGCCATTTGTGTGAAAAGTTTAGATTTTCAGAATGATGTATCTTTTCGCCTTATTGAGTGGCTTGAGCTTCAGTTTCTACTTGGGGTGGACGAGTTAACCATTTACTTATTCAACGTTCATCCTAATACATACAAAGTTCTCCTTTATTATGAACAGCTTGGAAAGGTTGTAATTATTCCAATTACTTTACCTGGCTATTTACCCAATACCCCCTTAGAAAGAACCAGATTCCTTCACGAGAACATATGGCAAAAACGAAGACACGAGTTGATTCCTTACAACGATTGTTTTTATAGACACATATATACCCATGAATTTGTTGTCCTTTTAGATTTAGATGAAGTTATCATACCTGTCCATCATAAAACATGGACTCGGATGTTACGCCAAGTGTTTAAAGAAAAAACACAGGCAATTATGAAATATTCCTCTTTTGCGGTACCTAACGTTTACTTTTTTGACGATTTCGGTCCTTCGAACACAAATCGTGGTGTGCCAAGTTATATGCACATATTGCGGTTTCTTCATCGTTCCGAACATTTTACTAAACCAGGATTTGCTGTCAAGAGTTTCATAAGCACCAACAACACCCTTGCTGTATTCAACCATTATGCTCTGTTCCCACTGTATCCACATACTGCCCGCACCATGTTATTAAATGAAAGCGAAGTGCGACTCCATCATTACCGCTCAAAGTGCCCTTCAGGAATGGCCGATGACTGCTTGGAAAACTTCATGAAATACAGAAGAAAAGACACGTTAATTCTGAAATATCAAAAGGAACTACTGATGAAAGCTGGTAGAGTGATTAGAGAACTTAGCTTAAGATAATACTGTACGATATAGTTTTCTTCAGGTTGATTTGCAACTGAAAATATGAAAATTATTACAAATATATAGTAGATAATTAGTTGTTTTGTATGTATTGTAATGCACAATAAGATTAAAATTATTTTTGAAAACTTTTTGCCTCCCTGTAACTTTATCTTTCATAAAACAAAAATGAGAAATCAGTTTATATGTTTTGTATTTGTTCTCAATCATAATCCGTTTGAGAAGATTCAACATTCCTAACACTTCTTGAAGATGATTTCAAAACCACTATTTAAACTTATAAATTTATGTGTTAAGTCACCAGGTGGAACAGCGGTAAGTCTTTAGATTTACAACGCTAACATCGGGGGTTGGATTCCCCTCGGTGGACACAGAAGATAGCCTGATGTGGCTTAGCTATAAGAAAAAATCTCACACACTGTATGTTAAACTTAAAATTGTCACGCACTGAATAACCCATTTTCCAAAAATTATGAAAATTCCTTACTTTAAGTTTTCAGAAACGATTTGGGATAGTAAAATGCATTCACATTTACATGATGTAGATTTAATTCAAGTGTAATTGTGCCCCTAGTGGCTCAGCGGTGGGTATGATGGCTTATAACGTTAAATATTTTGTACATTTATTCTTGGAAAACAAATCAAGTGTAATTGTAGCTTAATTAATTCTACAGAAGTTTTTGATCACATGGGCGTATGGTAAAAACGTCTCATAATTTACAAATTCCAATAGTGAAAAACTAAATCACGTTGCTTTTAGAAATTTTCAGTTTATACATGTATTTCGTTTGTTTATAATTAAGCACAAAGCTACACAATGGGCTATCTGTGCTCTGGTTACCACGGGTATCAAAACCCGGATTTTAGCGTCGTAAGTCCGCAGACATACCGCTGTGCCATGTATTTCGTGCTGTCTGCGCTTGCTGTCCCTAATTTAGCAGTAATAGACTAGAGGGAAGACAGCTAATCACACCACCCACCCAACTCTTGTGCTACTCTTCTACCAACGAATAGTGAAATTGACCGTCACATTATAAGGATCTCACGGCTGAAAGGGCGAGTATGTTCGGTGACGAAGATTCGAACCCACGAATGCGAGTTGAGATAATTTATGTATTCAGTGACCTTTGGAGATAAAATTTAACCTGTTAACTAGACATGGTTTCTCAACCTTGCTGTTTATATCGCTTTAGAGAAACTTATCTTTTAAACATTGTTACCATTCATTTATTCTTCTTATTTCGATAGTGCGAAGCACTGAAAAGAGTGTTTTTTTTTTTTCCTTCTTAACTATAACGTCTAAAAATATAACTCGTAAAACAGAAATATGGTACTTATTTGTTTGCCTCAGCTAAATTAGAGAAACAACAAAATCCTTTTGAATTTCTTCAGTCTAAAAATATTTAGCATCAGAAATATACCTCTTAGACTTTAACTAACTCTTAGTTGATTTGTGCAAAAGTGTTAGGACAAGAGAATATTTTGTCATTCTTTCCATTTGATGAGGCTAATTCTTCCATGACATTACAGAATGTAAATTTCAACACTATGGTAATGCTTCACTGAACCCCGTTGACAATTGAATGAACCAGGGTGAGAATACTTATCATTCTTTAGAATTCCTATATACTTGTACCAAGGGCATGTCATAAAAGTTCTGCTTGAATCAAAATACTGATCAAATTTAGGTCTGAAATAACTGTCATGGTAGCCCCATGTAGTATCTTAACTGAAATAAGCTAGCAAGAAGTTAGCATATGGTACAGGTACATGCTAGAAGAAATCAACTTAATAGCACTTCACAAATAAACCTTGATAAAAACAGTATTTAACACTATATATTAAGTTTTGTTTTTATGCCATGGCCCGTAAATCTTAGAGCATTGTCAGTAGAACAGAGAGTTCACATAAAAGCTTTAGTGATGCTAGTTGGACTCTCCGACAAATTGCTGCAGACTTTAAATGCTCCCCAAACACTGTCAAGTACAACCTAGATCGTGAGACCGAGACAGGTAAATTTGAAAATAGGAAAGGAAGAGGCAGAACACCTAAACTCAATGATATTGATGTTAAGTATCTTCGTTTATTCAACCTTCGGGACAGAAGGAAGACTGCCACTGATCTCAAACATGAGATAAACGACCATGTACCAAATGACAGAAAAGTGTCCAGATCAATATTATCAAGACTCGACGAGAATGGAATATTTGGTCGTGTAGCAGTTTAAAAACATTTACTTCGCGCTCCAAATATTCTCAGAATACTGAGATTTTCTAAACAAAAGTATAAAAACTGGACTGTTGATGATTGGAAAAAGGGTGTTATGGATGGATGAGTCCAAGTTAGTTCAAAGCGTAGGTTGTACGTCCGATGGAAGAAAGGTGTAAAAAAGACCTACCAATGGGGGAGGCATTGTGATGGTTTGGGGGTGTTTTTCTGCTGAGGTAACAGAAGATATTTGTAAAATAGATGGAATAATGTACCAGCGCAAGTACCATCAGATAGTGATCCATCATGGTAGACCCAGTGGTTTGCGTATTATTGGTAAAGGATTCTACTACCAAGAAGATAATGACCCAAACACTCATCCAACCTATGCAGAAATTACTTAGCTAAGAAAGAAACTGCTGGAATAATTCAAATGATGCAATGGCCCTCACAGAGCTCCGATCTCAGCTTAATTGATCAGATCAGGGATTTGATAGATCAAAAACTTGACAAATCAAAAGTTCTTTCAAAAGAAATTTTATAGGAGTGTATTAGAGACATTTGAAATAAAATTCCAAAGGACACTTTTATTAAATATTTCGCAACAATGTCTGAAAGACTGTCTACAGTTATTAAAGTAAAAGGGGGCACACAAAATATCAACTGTTTGCTGAACTCAAGCACTTCCACTGATATTTCCGTTGTACTAAATACGAATATTAATACAATTTACCTTCCATTGTTCTTTGAAAGTAACCTGAAATAAAATTTTTCATTTTGTCCTAACACTTTTGCACAGTACTGTATATACATATTAAAAAAACTGTGTTAAACTGTGAAAATCACTTCAGGTATTACCCGTTATGACTAAACTAACAATCATGCAATCTAACTTCACTTTCACTAATTTAACTTTGTTTACTTAATTTTCTCACTTGGTCGCCTATATATATATTTTGCCCAACTGAGGCCTAGAACTTTCTACAAACCAAGAGACGATATGATGTAAAAATACTCACTTAAGGCAACGAGAAAAATACAGAAGGTTGGAGTAATTTAACGTCAATTTACAAAACTTTAACTAGATACACAATGTTCGACTCTTACCGAGTTACGTAAAGAAATTTGTCATAACTATAGTTTTCAAAATTATTAATTTTTAACACTCTTGTTATGAAAACTAAATAATCGTTAACTATTAGATCACTAAATAAACTAAATAATAATTCTTACACTAAACAGTTTTGTATATCCAAAAATAAGCCCCACTTCAAGAAAAATATTTAAAATATTTTTATACTCTATATGAAGACTGTTCTCAGTTCACACATTAAATCTCCTCATATAGCCTGCACCAACACTTGCAGTTTCCTTGTTAGTCTCTCTTCTCAAAGGACCTCTGGTAGGGCTTCACATTGACAGGACCCCTTGTTTTTGTCTTGATCTTGTGTTGTTTGAGGTATATTTTGCCTAGTGCATCTGTATACTAGCACAGTTGCTCCTGTAGGTCTTACTTTTGCTTGCCAGTCAATTCTTCACTTATGTTGACATCTTGGTTTGGCTCATCTACACCCAATGGTCTTAAGCCTTGTAGGTCTTTATCTTCTATGACAAAGTCACCATCTTTCGGTTCTGCATCTGTGACAGCCACACATACCATGTTCATCTATACCTCAATAGCTGCACCTGTTATGTCTTCTTCCCTCTTGAAGTACCTCTTCAATAGATTCGCATGGTAGATCTTTGTCTTCCCATCCACTTTCACCTTATAGTACCTTCTGTTTATAATATCTTGCAATTCAAAAGGTCCTTTCCACTGCAGAGTGAGTTTGTTGTTGGCTATGGATAGCAGAACTAAGACCTTCTGTTGGACCTTGAAATGTCGATTATTGACCTTCTTGTTACAGAAGCTCTTCTTATTTCCTTTGATGTATTTAGCTTCCCCAGTAGAACTGCTTTGATAGGTCTGGTACAGTACTGTCCTCTGTTTTGTATTATGCTGTACTTTCACTCGAGCACTGTCCCAAAGTTTCTGCAGTGAAGGGTCTTTCTTCTGCACTTTCATCAGTTCCTGTAGATCTACATTCGGGATGTCACTTTTTGATTCTTGCAAGGGCATGATGTGTTGTTTGTTCTTCTTCATTTGAGCTCTCACAGTGACTGCAGACACCTCACCAGTGTTCTTTCTGTCCAGTTTCTCCAAACATCTACTACCTGGTATGTTTTCAATCATCAAGTCGTATATTGGTACCTTCATACAGGGTAGCTGATGATGACAAAACCTTGTCGAAAGTTGTACATTTACTGTTATGTTAAACTTATATTAAAGATTTTCTTCATTACCTATTCAAGCCGTCTCCAACCATTATTAGCCTCAAAGTGGGTTCCTCGTCATCGAAAAAGTAACAATAGAACGTGCGAAGCATGGTTCGAAGAGTGATGTCACAATACCGGTGAATCAATTGTTGCAAAGAAATGACGTAAGTGAACGAGAAGCAAAAGGAAAAACAAGTTAAGTTAAAATAAAAAAACACTCAAAAGCTGTATCCTTGGATTTTTATATAAAGGTTATACTAGATTTTCTCTCCTCAAGTACCATCAACTACAGCAAAATACGAGAAAGTATTGTCAATAATAGGCCTAACCATAATTAAACCTCAGTTTCACGCTCGCCGTGACTATAAGTAGAAACTAAGCATTCCACAAATTGAAAATCCCATAGAAAAGAACTAAATACGAGAGTACTACAGGTAGAGAGGCTCAACAGAAAATTCTGTTACCTTATAATATTTAATAAGAATATCCGCCTAACAGAAATATCTTTAAACACAAGTCTAATAATAAAATACGTCAAAACAACAAAATATC